CTAAGCTGACCTCAATGGGATTTTTCTGTGGTTGGTCACAACACCCCCTAGATAAATTTAACCTTCAATAACTTCAAAAAACGTGGTCAGAATAGCATTAAAGTTGGTCTGTGTCATCACACCACCAGTGTGGTAAAGGTCGACGTTTATGTTCCGCGGACGTGGTCGGGTGCCCCGGGCTGCCGGCCAAGCCGGAGCAGCGCGGAGCTGCGAGGGACGAACGACGCTGCTTGCAGCTTTAATTCATTTTCCTATTCATTACATTTTTTAATCACAATTATACAATTTTCAGAATTTTAACTTCTTAATATATATATATATATATATATATATATATATATATATATATATATATATATATATATATATATAATTTTTGTTCTTGTGAAGCACCTTGCTATTTTTATCTTGAGAGGCACAATAAAAAAACTGTTTTGTTTTCTATTTGGCATCTACTGGGTCAGAAGCTGATTTTGTATTATAATGGACAATAACATAATAATTATAATTTTGTCAGAAAATTTTAATGAAAAAAAAACTTTTGTATTAAAATAATAACTTGTTTTATTTTCTTTGATTGCTTTGTGGGCTATAGCTGCTTATATATTAAATATTTATTGCTAAATTATTATTAATGTATATATTAAAATTAATAAACTTTACCAAGCATAATCAAATATTTGGTTTTACAACACCTTATGCCATGTAGATGGTAGAAGGGCTTGTCAGCAACACACTGAAACAGCTCACTCATACTTTTAGGCTGGGAGGAGCAACAAGATGAAGTGAGGACATGTCACCTTCCTGGCCTCTGGTGTGTCTGGGTTGGAGATTAAAAGCATTCTTCTATTCACGCCGATATGCTGGATTTTTTTCATAACCCATTGTTGCAACCTACCAACAAGGGTCAGGCTGAATTCTCTCTTTCTGGATGCGTTCCCTCAATAATTGATGATATGTGTGTGCTGTTCTTCCTTGACCCTGCCCAGCACAATACATCTTCCACAGCATGGCGTCCCTCCCATGCATACGAGTTTGCAGGCCTGATGAGGGAGCAATAAGTATTTCCAAGTGCTCGGCTGCACCACTGATCTCACACAGAGAGTGTCATTGCTGCATCTCATTTGAATTTTACAAACACCACCACGCTTGGGCTTTAAGCAGCAAATGTGTTTATTAGCCATCTGCTGCACCGTGTGCCAGGATGTGGGGGGATATGGCTTCTAGAAGTTATAGGTTACAGACTGAGACTTCTGCGCTGAGGTCTGCATGCATGTTGATAAATTACCCTCAAAGTCTGGAGCAATGAATGCAATGACTGTGTCATTCACCAATAAGTAAATATACTACTGATACACTATGATGACTCAACAGAATGTGTCTGAGCATCCTAACTGTAATAACTTCTCATATTGGAAGAATGACTACAATTCAGAAGTAACAAATAGACCTAGAGGTGGAAGAAACTAAAAAAATCCATCACTCTTGATCTCATAGATGCTCCATTTTCCTTCTTTATGAACACTGTCTGAGTTTTTGGTTTTATTAGAAAGTCACTTCATTAACAAGGAAGACTGTTAGCTCATCCCAGCCCATCTGCTGTGCTTTGATAACCCATTAATGAAAAAGAGGAGAGCGAGGAAAAGAAGAGAGAGAGAAAAATCATCCTCATGCTTCTGGTCAGGATTACATATACACAGCCTGTGATTGCATTTCACCCGTGCTCCATTTCAGAGTATAGCAGAACCATTAAATTAACAAATTGTGGAACTCTTCAAATACTGACTCCACGTACTGAAATCAAATATTATTTCATTGGTCACAGAGGGGTGGGAGGAGGTGGAGGCGAAGCATAAAACAGAAGGAAAACTAGAGTTAATGGATTCTCTTGTCAGCTACGTTCATTTCTGTGAGGACTGTCTGTCAACGAGTTTACTCAGACGCCTTATGTTGGTCGGGTGCATTAAGCTCTTGCTTTTCAGTAAAAGCAATTTAAGGCGACTGTGTTGCTTTGGCATTCTTTCATACTGCAGAGGGTTGTCGCCGTGAATGCATTACAAAGGGCATCGCAAACTAAACTAAATTTCTCCAGAACGATTTGCAGCTCATCACCTCTGTGGCAGAAACAAATACAAAATTAAAGCAAACGCACAAAGTCTCAGGTGCAAATGGGCTAATTCAGTCAAAATGTTTACAGACATCAAGTCATCACATTCATCTGGAATGCCATTTGGAACAATAAGCTACAGTTAATGTAGGTTGACTTTTTCAAAGGTGAATAAGCACAAGACCTTCTCCAGAACAACCTTTTATTTCATCACAAAGCTAGAAGAAGATCTTCTGTTGCAGGAGTTAGCCTGGCTGATTCACAGTCTAAGAAAATAAAAACAACATTAAAATATGAACAACTATTGATTTCCTGTGCTCTGCCAGCAGATGGGATTAGCCTTTCTGTCAGCAAAGCTGAAGACCCAAAAACTATAAATAATATCAGAGAAATGTGATGATTAAAGGATTGTTTTTGTATGAATATATTAACAGCACCATATCCCACTTACTCCTATCCGGTTAACCATAGCAGGAAAGTTTAAATCTGTAATAAAATATTCATATGCAGCTATTTGAGAGAATAATTTACTTTCTTGGGTGGATGCCTCTTTTAGAGATATGCAAGTCTGGAAATCCTTGAGGGAGGGTTGTTGTGTGTGCTTGTGCACTCTGATCAGAGAAGCTGGTTTCAGACGGGGATCGGGGAAAAGAAAAAAACAAGGATTCAGACAAGAGGACCTTGCCATTTACATTAATGGGTTTTGAGGAGAGCAAACTGTCTGGACACGGTGTCATCTTACTGACACCAGGAGCTTTTGGGGGTGGTGCCAGCAGGGATGCATAGGAAGCAGAGGAATGAAGTGCTTGGCACCAAGAGGTGTTGTGGTGATTAATCATAAATCGTCATCCTGGTTTTGTTTAGTCAAAAAGGAGACAAAAAAATATTTCATTGCAAAAAATGTGTTACATTTAGGAATAAAATGTTTAATATGTTTGTGTTTGTGTATAAATGTTGAAAAAGTATATCAACAAAGATAATTCACTATAGTTTTATACACCTTAACCTACTTCAAAGCATTTAAACCTCAACTGAAACCTTTCAAGAAAAATCTATAAAGATCCTGTAATAAAATAATATTCGCACACAGAAGCAGGTCCAAGCTGATGAAACTGTGTTTAACAGGTTCATAAATTTGCCGAGGCCTTGTTTATCACTCTCCTACTCAAAGCAGTCAGTCTTTTGAATAATATATCACAATCTCTTCTATAACTTCTCCTCACATACTCCTACTTATGTCTGTTCAGTCTGTTTGTCTTAGTCCTGGTAATTCAGTGCCCAGTGCTTCTTAATTAGCATTGCTCAGATGAAAAACTTAAGAATCTGACACTAAACACCTAATTCAGCCATGCAGGTTTAACCTTTCAACACAAAAACCTTCTAAACATTGTGTCTCTTAGGCCCTGTCCACACGTAGCCGGGGATCTGCCAAAACGTAGATATTTTTCTACGTTTTGGCCTGTCATTCACACAAAAACGGAGTTTTTTCACACAAAAACGGATCTTTTTAAAAACTCTGACCGGAGTTTTAAGATCTGCAACGTCACTTTCCGCGACAAAAAAAATGCTGACATCACGTGTGCGACCTGTGTTTACACTAGCCGACAGCATGGATGCCCTCAGAGCTGTGCTCGCTTTATCAATTGTCCAAGCGCTTTCTGCTTGTTTGTTTTTGCAAGCGGAATTACTGCTCCTTGGGGAAGACCACAGACGAAGGACGAGGTTAAGAACGGGGGAAGTACTGCTGCCTACAGGTCTGGCATGTCCTTAACAACGTATTTATCCGGGTACGTGTGGACAGAGTTTTTTTTAAAACGAGGTGGTGTGGATGCAAGTTTTTGGAGGGGCGGATATTCGTTTTAAAAAAAAAAACGGCTATGTGTGGACTAGGCCTTAGATAGCAGTACGAAATATGTAGCTTAATAACTGCTTCAGTCTGTGAAACCAGTAACCTCCTTTTCCATTTCTAAATGACCTGTATTGACATAAAAAGTCTAACTTGTGGCATGTTGACAACATAATGGCAAAACCCCCAAACAAAAACAAAACATTTATATTTCATAGAAACCTCTGTGAATAAAAAAAAATGGTTCACAGCATTCTGGTCAATTGTGGCATTAAAAAAGTGAAGAGCGAACATTTCTCATTTGAGAAAGAGTGTTTCAAACAGGAGGAAAAGGGGCAATCTGACCCAATAAACAATAACATATGGAAGGAAATAACACAGCAGGTGAGTAGTTACATTTTTGTTCAGAGCAGCAAGAAATGTTAAAAGAACTACTGATGCTCGTCACGGCAGAGGAAATACAAAGTCTACAGAAAACGGCCAAAAAGAAGTGCTGCACTTTCACTTTCTTCTAAAAAACACTCTCATATGTGGTAAGAGTTACATATTTCTCTTGAATACCAAAATCTTAAATTATATAGAGAGGGCAAACCTTACTGCTTCCTTTGAATGAAACTAAAATTGCGTAATTCCTTCCAGGTCGCCAAATGCCTTTGAAGTTATTTTAAACTACACAAGAATTTCTAAGTCAAATTAATAGTGTCAGAAGCTTTCAAGATGTCAAAATTTACCCAAAGGAAGAGGTGATATGCTGCGAAAACTTGCAGGTGATCTTTAAACAAAATGAATCAAAAACTACAGATGGATGGAGTACTCCGTTAACATCCAGTCTCATCTGTGAAATGCTTAAATTCACACACGTCGTCACCGTCTGTGAGGTCCTACTGCAAAACCCAGAAAAAACATGAAAAACTTCCTTTTCATTGACACCCAATGTGTGTAGGCAAATGTGTGTGTGATGTGTGGATGGTGGCTGCTGTTCATTACAATGCTTCTATTTAGAGAAAAAAAAAGCAACAAACACAGAACACATAATGTTGAACTCACCGAGAACAGGATGCGGAAGTTGGCCAGCTCTCCGAAGAAATCCTCCACGCTGACCGAGTGGGGGTCAAATGCAAAGTAACTGCCGATGCTCTCAAAGAGCTTCTGCATGTTTTTGTGCATGGTGGAAAGTTTTTCATACTGCTCCCGAGCATGTTTACAGAAGCCGTGAGGAGGATGGAGTCAAGGAAAAAGGTGAGAGATGTAGCTCATGTACACAACACATACAAATATAAGGCACATTGCACATATATGTTGATCCGTGGGGAAAGAAATAGCATTACAAGCTTTAGTGTACTTTAAAACCTCACCTGTGTCATCAAGGTCACCAGAAGGAAAATAAAATAGTAAGGAAGGGTTTCCATCTCACTTTGGCGTCAATAGCATGGAGAGCTAATAGCTGCAGCCCTGAAGTAATGGAAAGGTGTTTTGTAGGCAGCAAGCATGACACAGATGGGTGCTGGAAAAGCTGATTGCAGTCATTGTTCTATTGTTTCGCACAACAACAGTGGGGTCAGGTTGTTTTGAACCTCACAGCTCACGTCGCACTGTGTAATTTACTGAACAGGCAGAGGACTTTTCTCCTGGTGAATGAGTATTGACAGCTGGCATCAGTTAAGCATTATCACAGCAGCCATTGACCTCATAGAGACTGTACTTGGGCACTGCAAGACTCTCACCCTGGGTGGGATGAGGACAACACAACACAAATATATGTACACACATGCATGTACAAGATGGGAAAAAACAGCTCAGAACAAAAAAGCAAAAGCAGGAAAAATATAAAAGCAAACAAGAAAAAAAAGGACCTTGGGAAGCACTTTCTGCCATACTTTTTGCAATATTTTTATTTTTATTTTTATTATTACTTTTATTTTGGTGGGGTTGAATGTCAAAGATGCCCAGACAAATTCACAAGGTCACATGTAACCCATGTGACAAATGCACCTGCAACCACTTCAGCCACCACTTCAGCCACCCCTTTAAGAGAAACCAACAACCATTGATGACCAGCTGTTGCTGCCCCGCCCAGATCTCTAAATCCCCAGAGTTCAGTTGCTGCTGTTAACATCCAGGGGTCTCATTTATCAAACATTGCATAGAATCCTTACTAAAACCGTACTTAAATTCAGCTAAAAAAATGTACTTACGCCAAGTAGGTTTGTGATCTTTCAAACATGGAGTACGCACAGCTGCACGCAATCTCCGCTTCATAAATCGGAGACTAACGAGAACGTTTCTCAGCTGCATTTTAGTCACATCCCGCCCTCACCACGCCCACTTACTGCCATAAATAGTCAATGCAAAGTGCCTTGTGGATCTCATGCATATACATAAGCCGGCTGTTGCAGCACTCCGCCAATAACGATGGCGACCGTAGATCAAGGCAGATCAAGGAGGCGCAATTTCACAGAAGCAGAAATTGAGGAACTTGTGGGTGAGGTGGAGAAATGAAAGGAAGTGCTTTTGCAAAACAAATAAGAGAAAATCCACGCAGTGGCACAGCGTTGCTGAAGCTGTCAATGCTGTGAATTCTTCAGAGAGATCTGTGGCGGATATAAAAAGATGGTCCGATTGGGATTCGATTCCCAGACTCCCGGGTGATAGTCATGCGCTCTAACCAGTCAGCCAAACAACGATCTCCCTTGTCCAAGTAGCCAGGGCGCATGATCAATCGAGTCACAGTGACAGGACACACACACTGTCACAGACGCATGACATTCTGTCTCAATCTGTCCTCCTGCTGATATTCTGCATTCCATATTCTGTGCTTCAGGCTGTGTGCGCGCGTGTGTGAGTGTGTACGCATGTATGTGTGTGTGTGCGCACGCGTGTGTGTGTGCATGCGTGTGGGGGGGTCTTGTTCTGTGTTAAAACAAAGCAGTGCAAGTGATAATGCTGCAGGATTTCATAATTTTATCCTTCTCAGCAGCAGCACTGCAGGTGCTCTCTATGTTCAAAATTTCTGTAAGCCAGGTCCTTAGTCAACTTAAAGTTGCGCACATTTTTCCGCTAAGTTTTTTTTTTCATAAATACCAAAGTTTGCGTGGAAAGTTGCTTATGCAGTTTTTTGACCCCGTTTTGTGCGTAAGCAAGCTTGATAAATGAGGCCCCAGCTCGTTGCTACCAGCCTGTGGTCTTTGTGGTGTTTCTACCTGGAAAGGTACTACCTACTCTTGAGGTGAGCAGGAAGTATGACAAACTGGTTCTGCATTTTCTTTGCGCTTTGGATAACTGGTGAGCTGCTTTGGTTGTCATTTCCTTTATTTGGTATAATTTATTTTTTCCCTGTATTAATGGTAGTCATTATTGCTACAGATACCCCTTCAGTCTGCTTAACTGCTGTCAAAGTTTGTGGTTGTGTATCTCTACTCTCCAGTGAGTAACCAACTTCATGTGCATACAGCTAGTTAGCTGTAAGTAGGCCACAAGTCTTAGGCCTAGTCCACACATAGCCAGGTTTTTTTTAAACGAATATCCGCCCCTCCAAAAACTTGCATCCACACCACCTCATAAAAAAAAATACTGTCCACACGTGCCCAGATAAATACGTTGTTAAGGACATGCCAGACCTGTAGGCGGCAGTACTTCCCCTGTTCTTAACCTCCTCCTTCGTCTGTGGTCTTCCGCAAGGAGCAGTAATTCCTCTTGCAAAAACAAACAAGCAAAAAGCGCTTGGACAATTGATAAAGCGAGCGCAGCTCTGAGGGCATCCATGCTGTCGGCTAGTGTAAACACAGGTCGCACACGTGATGTCAGCATTTTTTTGTCGCGGAGTTTTTTCACACGAAAACGGATCTTTTTAAAAACTCCGGCCAAAGTGAAGATCTGTGTTTTCTCTGTTTTGGGTGTCTGCGTGTGGATAGACAAAACCGGAGTTTTAAGGTCCGCAACGTCACTTTCCGCGACAAAAAAATGCTGACATCACGTGTGCGACCTGTGTTTACACTAGCCTACAGCATGGATGCCCTCAGAGCTGCGCTCGCTTTATCAATTGTCCAAGCACTTTTTGCTTGTTTGTTTTTGCAAGCGGAATTACTTCTCCTTGCGGAAGACCACAGACGAAGGACGAGGTTAAGAACGGGGAAGTACTGCCGCCTACAGGTCTGGCATGTCCTTAACAACGTATTTATCTGGGCACGTGTGGACAGAGTTTATTTTTTAAATGAGGTGGGGTGGATGCAAGTTTTTGGAGGGGCGGATATTCGTTTAAAAAAAAACGGCTACATGTGGACTAGGCCTGAGACTGAGAAATGTTTAGCTGCTACCCCTAAAAGCCAACAAGTGTTTTTTTCCCTCTGGGTTTTATTGCAAGTCAGTATGAGAATTAGACTAAAATGTTTGAATTAGAAGATATCTTTTATATAGCGCCTCTCTAGATAAAAGTTACTAGGCACTTGTTTGCTTGACGGCTTTGGTTTTGCATGCCTGTTTTTAACTTTCATGTAATTCATTTGTAGCATTGCAGTTTTATCTTTATTGCAGAAAGGAAAAGCACAGTAAAATGTACAACTGTTTTGGAGTTTATTATTTTAGTGATCACAAACCAATAATAGTAGTTAGCTGGTAAGCTAAATGTGTTTTCTCTCTCTATATTTCAGGAATCAGCATAATTTGACAGACTGGCCCAGGCAAATCCATCCTTCTCACGTCAACATTCTGCTGAGTTAAAGACAGCGAATTAAAAAAGAACTGAATAAAATAAACGTTGTTATGTAAATATACAACTAGTACCACTCTGTTTACATTTTAAGGCATTCAAGGAAACAACAGGTTATCCGCTTATTCAATTAATCTATCGATTGCTGAGGCAAATTAATTGATTACCAAAGAAAAATCGATAGCTGCAGCCCTAGTGCAGAGTAGTGACACATAAGCTGTATAAATCACACCACAAGCTGGCGTATCTGCTGCGTCAAAGTGCAAGATATACATAAAAAAATGGTAAAATGTGAAAATTACATTTTCACTTTTATTTACATGTTTATTGCCCACTGCAAAAAGAAAACTAATTGGACCAATCACATGATCACATTAAATAAAAAATCACATCTCATGGCATTAGTGGCTCATTTTATGACAAACAAGTTACAACAGACTGAGGATACCACAGGGGTGTTTGGCCCCAAAACAATTCAACATTAAAACTGAGGTAGTAGTGGATGAAATAAAATACCTCTAAACTGACAGCTTTATCTCCTGATGTGTGTACATCTATACTTTATAAGAAATGCAGCTATGATAAAAAAAAAAAAGGCTCAAGGGGTAATTGGTTGACTTCTCAGATGCCCCATTTTCACCACCTTCATAAGCCTAATGTCACACATTTATTTTACATAAACATGTGGCTCTTGGTCAATTATATGCAGACAGATAGAATTTTACCAATCAAGATCACAACACAGCACCTACAAAAAAGTGACCACCGAATTAAAACCTAGAAAAAAAACTGTTTTCAGTGCCACACAGTAAACTTGAGAGATAGGGCTATGGGGTGAAATGAGGAGTAGAACAGATGTGGGCATTGGTGTCTACTACTTTTCACTAGTTATGGTGTTAACATCTGAAAACTGAAGAAACAAATCAAAACTTAAAACCTGAACGCTATGTCATATCTAAAAAGCAGCCAAGGACAAACTGATGTTGACTTACAGGCAAATTAGAACATTTAATTAGTCCTCAGCGAAAGCTAATGAATTATAAATCCAGTCACTGTGTTGCTGTCAACTAATAAATTAGACAATGATTTGGACAACACTTTGCGTCCTTATGTTACCCTTACCAAGGTAGCAGCTTCCAATTCTTTGTATCATGGGTGCAGTTATAGGCAATTAGCGCTCTTTTGCAGTCGCCTTGGAAACATGCCCAATCTGGCGGTACAGCATGTGGCCTAAGATTATCAGGGCCAAGCAGTTATCAACACATTGTTCTTCTTGAGCAACCTGTCATTACTATGTGGAGGCCACAGTTTTCTACAAAATAAATAAATAAATAAAACACATATTTATTGTGTTTCTATTTTTGCCTTTTTGTTGGACGTTCTCATCCAGGTCCAAGTCCCTCTGCAAGTTTGTATATCTTTGAGACGTCCATGCACGTACTTTGTGCAATTTAAAATATCTTTGATTATTCCAGTGGAACACAGAGGATGTAGGCTTGTTAGATTT